GAGTTTCTGATGGTGGGCTGGGTGGGATACCTAGGCCTAACTTTGTTTGCTGGTTGTTAGTAAATTATACACACTGATTTTATCATCTGGAAAATGGGGGCTTGTAGTCTATTTTCTTCTTGAAGGGGAATGTCAGAATATGCAAAGAATATATGTCATCACTCTACAATTATTTTGCAAAAATAGACAATCCTTGATTTTCTCCTCATAACAAAGCACAAAGGGTCATGTATCGGTCCAATCTGTTGCCCCTTCACATATCATTTAGTTTTAAGCCAGATACTGTGCTCCAATAATTTATCTTCCACTCCTATTCTACTTCCAGTAATAGAAGAATAGTGCTGTATTCTGTAAGCTCACATAATGTGATGGAGATGGCTTATGGGCTTAGTTCTCAAACAGACCGACAACAGAATGTGCATCCTTGAGTCTTAAAATCTGCCATCCATCATTCTGGTAGGTACCCACCTTTAATGGGTCTTACACAAATTTCTGCAAAGCACATCCTATTTTCCACAGACTGATATGCTTTTTCTTTTTGTGGGTGGCGTTGGGAACTGAACCCAGGGCTTTGCGTGTGATGATCGTGTTTTCTACCACTGATCTACACCCCCAGCCTCCAGATGCATATTTAAATGTACAACTTCATCATTGCTTCTGCCCAGATGCTAACCAGCTCCCATCCTACATCTCCAATCACCCACATGACATTTTCTCTTAGGGCTATGGGATCATTTGGTCTAACTCTCTCACGCTGAAACCAAGGGTGCTGAGATCCAAAGATGTGGTGTGGTTTTACCAACTTTCTTAATCAGACCAGATGCCAATTCAACAATGTCCTACCACACAGACGATGCTGGATCCACACAGCCCAAGGGAGACCAGACATCACTTCGCACTTACACCCAACACACTTACAACCTGCCTTTTGGTCTTCCAAGCCTGATTCTTTCTCTTAAACTTTCTGTCTGTGAGTCAAGGCTCTATGCAGGCAAAGCTCATGCTGACACATATTATTCTCCACTGATTTTCCCAGAAATAGGAAATTCAGTGGGAGCCCAAAATGTATTTTGGCAGATGCATGTATGAATGACTGTCATGGGGCGCCATCCTCCTCTGTAACATCTGAGCTTGGAACTGATCGTTTCACACCCCCACCCACTCACTGATCATCAGGTTCTGGGCATGTGGTTTCCATATCCCTTCTTTATTTCTGACCCCTGGAGCACAGACCTCTCATTTTGGATTCAGCCTCATCTCCTGTCCTCAGCCTTCCTTTCCTCCACCTCTTCCTGTTCTTGGTTTTTCTTCACCAGTGAAAGCCTTCACCTACTTATTCTAGGTCAGAAGACGTCTACATTTTCAGTACTCACAATTCCTAATTTGCAGGCGAGGATGTCTCCATCCGGCCTCCACGTCTCTGAGCTTATCACCCGCCATTCTGTCTGAAAACCTCCCCACTCTCACCAATGCCATTGTGTGTGCAGCCCTCGAAACACACCTGACACTATTTGGCCCACTTCCTGCCTCACTTAGTCTGTGGATTCTAATAATCACCCAGGAGGCCCAGAGAAAGTGCTTACTTCATAGGGGAGACAACGGAATACAGCAGCAATAGTAGCTAGAACTTCCTAGACACGGTCACGCATTAAGCATAGTACTGAGTTATTTGTATGTGTCATTTTGATAACCTGCACAAAAAACCCCGGGAGGTAAGCCCAGTTATTTATGTTGTAGAGTTGGGAACCTAGGCTCAGAAGTGTCAAGTCCTGCACCAAGGGTCACAGACTCAGTACCTAGAACAGATGGCGTTCATGCATAATTCTACCCAAGTGCCAACACAGCGCCCCTAACCTCTAGGCTACATTGCCTGAAGCTATTTTTCTTCTCTGACAGCCCCTCACTGCCCACAGCCACTGATTTGCCAGCTTCAGTTGAGTGCTATCTTGCTGAACATGATTTTATATGGACATGTTCCTTCTCCCCAGTTATGTTGTAAGTCACCAGACAATAGGAATTACACTTTTGGAGACTGAGAAGTTCTGATCATTCATTTCTGACTAAACTGATTAAGAGTATTCCGTTCCATTTCAGTTTTTTTTAAATTTAATTCTACCTTGAGGCTGTGGGTTTACTCCCCTCTTTTCTTCCCCCAGCACTACAAGTTGGTACTAGAATAAACAAAAGCAGATCCTTGCTGAGTTTAGGTTCCTGAATAATACATGCAGGTTCAGCATCCTTAATCCAAAACCCTGAGACTTTTTAAATGACAATGTGACATGACAAATGGAAAATTCCACACCAGGGAACTTTGTTTCATGCATAAAATTATTGTATAAAATCACCTGTAAGCTATGGGTATAAAGTCTATATAAAATGTAAATTTGTTTCCTATTTAGATGTAGAACCCATCCCCATAATATCTCATTATGTATATACCAGTATTTTAAAAAAAATCCAAAACCTCACACACTCCTGGTTCCATTCATTTCTGATAAGCAATACTGGACCTGTATTTGCAACCATCTTTTCTAGAAAGTGGGCCTGACAGTAGTTGCTGGAGTGATTTAAGGATTTCAAACATTTTCCTCTTGAGATCTTTGCACAGCTACAGATATTACGAGAAGGTGAAAAAAACAAAACCCAAGAAACTCCAGCAACTATTGAGAACCATTATGCAATTTAATCACTGTGAATCGACAATGCGGGTGGTAATTACAGAGCCCTATTTATACATCACTCTAATATGCCTTTTTGTTAACTGATTCATTTACAATTAGCATTATGAGCTGGGGGTGTAGCTCTGCAGGAGAGTGCTTGCCAAGTATGTACAAGGCCCTGGGTTCAATCCCAGGACCACGAACACACAAACACACATACACACAAAAATTACCATCATGCCCTCCAATAGATGTATCACTTTATATATAAAATATGTTCATTTTAGGCTCAATCCTCAGGAAAGTGTTTGATCTTGAGTTAGTCAGAGACCCTCTCTGGGCCTCTGTTTTTCTATTGCCTCGACTTTCTGCACTGCTAATTAACACAATCCGTCGGTTTCAGTTCATGCAACTTCAGTGCCTAGAATCCAAGGAACAAAATGCTAGAAAAGCACTCTGAAATGATGAAACTGCCAGGTCAGCATGAAAAAGTATCCAGCCTTATTTTTAGTGGCCTTAAAGGATTTTTTTGGGGTGCGTGCGTTGTTATCTTGGGCAGGTAGACTGAGTTAGGAAGTTCTTTCTTTTTCATTTGTGCTTCTGGAGGTCAAACCCAGGACCTTGCCATGCTGGGAAAGCACGCTGCCTCTAAGCTGCACTCCTGGTCCAGAAGTGAGTCCTCCAGCAAGGCCTACTCCTGCTCTGTGAAGGAGCTCACATGCTCCATAGTTAGGGCCCCTGCAAGTCCTCTCTGTCTTCCCATTCCCTGCACCGCCGGCCCTGTGCCTCTACACTCTTCTGTACTTTGCATGTTAAACACCAAAAGCTTTCCGCTAAGGCCTGGGCCACAGGGGAGGCAGATAGCTCACATCTGGAAGCTATCATCAGCTACCCTTTGGTATGTCAGTAAACTAAAACCCCTCCCTCCATTCATTATAGGGAAAAGTGACAGTTAATGTAGTTTTTTTTTTTTTTTTTTT